ACGCAACTCTCTGAATCTCAAACTACAGGGTGAAAATCCCTGAGTGTCACAAATCTTCAAGCACAGCAAAGCCTTTGAAACAAACTGAACTCTGCGGAAGCATGTTCATGAAATATTTGCAAAATGGGAAAACTATTCCTTGTTCCAACATGTCAGGAGAGAGTACAGATGACATTGTTTACAAGTTGCCGGCGGAAAGCTACCTCCCAGTTGTCCAGAATCTGCATAAAGAAATAAGTCCCAGTTTTTCATCTCTCAGATGAGATGAGCCAGACATTCAACTGTTTAAAGAACCTTTTTTGCTCAGTATAGGGGAAATGTTGCTATGTTCTAAGCATCCTGAAGGGATAGAATTGAAAAGCAGGATTCAGTAAACACATTTAGCATGTTTTGCACTTCTTTTCCCAGAAATTCAACAGCTGAACTTGTTATCTTTCACAAAGAAAAATAACAGTTCACGTCCATATTGTGATTTATGCTGAATAAGTAAAAGCAGCAGGGCAAGATTTCTACCTAGTCCATGGAAGAATGGTAGGAGGGAGCCGTAACTTCTGCCTGGACCTAAGGGGTAAGGGGTTGTGACCTCCTGGGTAAAGGGATAACGATTTAGTTCTTTCCCTTTGTTTGCAAGTGTAACCTACATGGGGGGAGGCAAGCTGTGTTACTTTACTTACCAGTTCTGTACTACAGAACTCCTCTATCTGACTTAAAGTATTTGCACAGACCACTAATTCATATCCTTCTTGGGAGACTACCGCTGGATTTTCTATAGGAATCCTCTAAATACTAAAGTGAAAATTATAACAGGATTCACTTCCTTTTCTTCTTAGGAATCCAGTACCAGGCTTTACCATAAGCAGTTACATGCACCCACAATTAGCAGTTTCCAATTCCTCTTACTGAATAACACTCCAAAGATAAACTGCTACAGCACAGCAGTTACAATGCTCTCTAGCTAGAGTTGCATCACTAACTAGAGATTTGTTGTCTTCCTTTAAAATGAAGAATGGAGCATTCTAGCAGCTCAGCTTACTGGTTCATAGAAATAGCAAATTTTAATGAATATTAAAAAATATTTCTTTAAAGCAAATAAAGAAGTTATAAATATGAGTGCTTGCAACCAGAAATTTGATTCTAAGCATTATGGTTATCCAGCCAGGAAGCATAAACAGTAACATGCTCATATCAAAACTAACAATTAAAGTTTCCGTGCAACGTTCCAAAAGTATACGTTGCATTTTTTCTCATTTCTGTGGGCCAAATTCTGAAGTAGTTCTTCAGTGTTCTACCCTTCTGCAAACTCAACTCCCATTTATGCAATAGCAGTACATCAGCAGTATTGCCAACTCTAAATGTTCAAAAATCATGTCAGAATCAGGCCCCTCCAAGATCATGAGCTTTAAAAAAGGTGCTTTTCTCCCCCCCCCCCATTACTTTGCTTTCAAGATTTCAGGGTGGACTCACATCACTTCAAGCTTTTCTCTAAAACCACGAGAGCTAGAAATTTACTTTTTATCTGGGATTTAGGACCACCTGCTAGCACTACAATGGCTTTAAAATCATGAAAGTGGGCAAAACAGCAGAGTAAAAGCTGCTAAGGAACTTCAGGGCTTGTCTATGTGGAAGCAATCTTTAGCCTGCTGAGAGCAAATGCTAGGGGCTAGATTGAGACAGACTTTATCTTGCAGATCTGTTCAGGGGTGGGGTATGCAAGGAGCCTACCTGCTGGCAAAGCCTTCACAACGTCCTGTCATAATTGCCGCCCCAGCACTTGCAGGGTCTTTGCCTTTGGTGAACCCCTGGGGTGAACAGTGCCCCAGTGATGGCAAGGAGGTGGGGCCGTGGTCCTACTCACACACTAACTGGTAGAGTGAGCTGGCCATACCAAGAGGCAGAATGCTGCTTTATCTTAAAGGCATGACCCCTCTTCAAGGGACCATCTCCTATTTTACACCATCCTTAAGGTACTATTCCTCCCCATAGCATGGTATGGTTCCACCACAAGTCCGGCTTGGGCCAGAAGCTAATTTTGCCATTTGGTTTCAAATGCTTTACATAAAGCCAAATTAATCATTTTGTTTCTTGTTCTTGTATAAAATGCCCGAATTCACAATAAAATGCACAGAGAAAATGTGTGCTGCTATGGAAAGGGAAAGGAGATATTTCTGAAGGAAGAAAAGTTTTTTATTTACTGTTCACTTTTACCTTGGTTGCTCTGTTCTGAACCTTTCTGGTGTTTTTGCAGACAATAAAAGGGAAGAAATCTGTTTTTCTACAAATTATGTAGTTCTAGCACACTGTTTTGAAATCAAAATTGCCTGTACGAAAGGAAGGTTCAATCACCCTCTGTAGGCAGCTAAAAATTGCTTCAAATTCATGATGCTAATGGTCACAGCAAATTGCATGAGGGGGCAGATTTAATATCACACTAGGCACTGCTCACTTTAGTTATTCTTTTTACAAGCACTGGCTGGACAATAGGAAATGAAAGTGTGTATAGTAAGTGGTGAGTAAAATTAAAAGGGCTGCATATTGGAAGCTATTCAGTTTTCAGCCAGTACTTCCTCAGGTAAAACTCCTATTGACGACAGTGGGAGTTTTGTCTGAGTGAGGAAAGCAGGATTTTATAGAAATTACATAAAGAATGATTGACTGTCAGTGCTTGGAAATATTAGGCTCCTAGGCCGGTAAATATGCCTGTGTAATTATCCTGGTATTCTTGGGTTTGGACCCTTGTCCCTCACAAATAGATATTGGATATGTTAAGCTTTTTAATAAAGCCTCCTTGATCTGCAGTTACTGTACAGCTCAAAAAAAAATTAGCCACCCCTGTGTAAGAAGAGGCAATGGAAGCCACTTGATATTAAACATCTGGAGTCAAGTTGTTTCTCTTTAGTCTCACAAGGTGTAGTGCTTGCTTTCCTGGGTGAAAAGGTGCAGACTATTATAGTCCTCAAGTGTTTAATTGTTTCTATATGCCCTGGAATTTTAAAGAGAGTTTCGGATGTATTTGGTAGTAGCTTTTCTTCTATAATCAGGTTGCTATGGTAAACCTATTATTCTAGTCAAAGAAAGAGTATGTAAGTAAAGTGCTGATCTCTTTGGTTTCATGTGAGCCTCTAATTACTCTCGAACAGATTGAGTTTGTACTGCATGTATGGTTATCACAATAAGAAGTAAGAGAATAAGGTCATAGAGAGTGTGCCTGCTGTTATTTCTGTGCAGATGCATTTGATAAAATAGTACTATGGCTTGGATTATCTCACTCTGGGTTCGGAAAATGCTCTCTGCTGATTTTTCTGGGGAGGCATCTTTTATGTGGTGATTTGAAATTTAGTCCTCCTCAGCATGCTAATCTTTCTTTCCTTCTGCCTGTCTACCTCAGGAATTGGCTGTCTTCAGGATTATTTATTTATTTGTTTGTTTATAAATGTGAAATTTGCTTGAGGTTACTTGAGTACACCCCAGTTGAGCAGGGGAAGAAAGCATTCAAAACCTCAGATCCAACGATCATTCTGGTTCTTTGAGATGTAAACTAAAAATTAAAATCAAGTCACTGCTCTAGCAACACAGCGCCATCTTTACTAATGTAGTCAAAAAGGTAGAAAGGAGTTACATTATATGACACAAGATTCTGGAACTATTTGTAAAAGAGGGGAAATGCATGAGTTAATTTGTGTAAGATTCTTATTTGTCACCACAATAAAAATATTCTTTTTAAATGTACCTTTTAAAATATTTCAAAATCACAGCAATACATATTTGATACAACTCTTAACCTTTAAGAGTTCAAAATAGCTTTTGGTAAAATTTCCCTAAGGTACTTTTAATATGTCTACACAGCATTTTGGAGCCAGCAGGTGTGAACCTCCCAGCCCAGGCCGAGAGATGTGGACTAGCATGGCTCATGCAAGTACTCTAAAAACAGCTCTATAGACAGTGCTTGGAAGTTGTGGCTTGGGCTGGAGCTCGGGCTCTGAAGCCTAGGGGTGCGGGTGGGCTTCAGAGCTTGAGATGCAACTTCAAAGTGCTGTCTATAGAGCTGTTTGTAGAACACCAGTGCGAGCCCTGCTAGCCCAAGTCTGTCGACTTGAGCTGGGTTACTCACTCCCCCTGGCTCCATAATGCTATATAGACATACCCTAAGGGACTTAGGAGGCTGTGTCCCAAATTATGTTTAATTAGTTTGTTTTTTTTAAGAGCAGAAAAACTGGTTAAGTAGAAATTTCCAAATGAAATCCATTAGGAGATCCCATCCATTATGATAGTCTTTTCTTACATGGCAACTTACTATATTTCCAGAGGCCCCTGCCTCAGTCAGTGTTCATGAGGTTATTGGGGAAGAGCATCTCTTGGAGCTTGGCTGGCTCCATTATCCCTTCCAACTTCATGGAGTCCCAGTATAGAGAGGACTGGTGAGGCTGGAAGAATATTGCAGAGGTTGCATTTCACCCTGCTGTGTCCTTCAAACCCAGATCTGCAGGCACAGTCTCACCTCTGTTTAAGAAAGAGGGCAGGTCATAGGAGCATTAATTCTTTACCTTCCTGTTTGGCATTTGTACCAAAGTGCTACTAGTATCCCATACTAGAAAGCTTTTCTGGGCCACTCTGTAAATTACTTTTCTAGATGATTTCATTTTAATTGCATCCACATCTGGTGTTCATACCACACATACCAAATGTTTGAATTAGTTTGGAGAGTTAATTATGTAGGGAAACATATACCATAGTTCAGCTATGCAAAGGTAGGGGCTATAACGTGATACAATTCCCATTAATACTGGCAAGAATAAAACTGGAAAGAAGATTAATGCCATTCCCACCAGCATCATGACATTATTTTGTTTTCAACAGTTTTTCTTTCTTACAAGTGTTCACACTTCAGCTGACACAGACTGACTTGTGCTTTATGTCTTTGTAGGAGCAGAACATTTCCCCCCCGTTTTTTATTCATTAAATCTTGATGATGTTGTGACCCTAACAACTGTTTTTTCTCACAGGGAAATGTGAATGTGGCCAGTGCACTTGTTTCCCTCCAGGAGATAACAGAGTTCATGGTAAAACCTGCGAATGTGATGATCGACAGTGTGAAGATATGGATGGCAATGTCTGTGGGGGTATGTATTCCTTTCAATAAGCAATAATTCTGTATGGATTTGTGGCTTTCCCTATTTCCCCTGATTTTGTTACAAAAGAGCATTAATGGAAACTAACCACAGCAGTAGATGGTAGTACATTTATATCTTAAAAAGAAGAAATAACAACAATCCCACAACTGAATATTTTAATTAATAATCAAAATGTCTGTCTTTAACAGTGAGGCAGATTACATGTGCCCAGTAACATTTTATACTGTGCTGAAGTTCTTACATAGATATCATCAAAATGTATCAGAAATCTGTACAGATATTTAAAGAAAAACTATGGAAGAAATGATCATATTTTCACTTTTTAACTTTATGATTGAAGACTTACCAATGGTATCACATTTTCCTTTTTTCTTTTTTTAAGTTAGCAATGCTCAGCAATGTGTTAAGTGGCTTTAGCAGCTGATATTCAAGGACAATTGTGTTTAGTATCATCTGGTACACTACAGCAATCCCACCATGTTCAATGGCCCCACCAGCTCTCACAAACTAAGCATCATTAGATTGGGTTGATATTTGGCAGAGCTCTTCTCCCAATCAATATTGACCCAATGGTCCAGCACAGCATTAAGAGCCATTTTGCCGAAGAAGGTATCTTTTAAATTAGACATGAAAAACAGTGTCTCTACTGATCACTTGTGGTCATTTCATAAATAAATTAAAGATCCAATAGCATTCTTCATAAGAGTGGAACTGTTAAATACAGCTGATGTCCAGTACATTCTACCACCTGCCTACTTCACTTTCCCTGCATAAGCTGAACGCATCATGTGTGCCCCTAAATAGTTTTGTAATGTGTCGTGTTGTTGTGCATCATTAACAGTTCACACATATGCCCACCGAAGTTCCTTCAGTGGTGCATAAAGTGACCATTGGTGTATTGGAAGGGACTTTGGGATTTTTTGGGATGAAAGGTACTATAGATCATTATCATTAATATAGACGGCTCAAATTATCAGCAAAAGCAAGGAATCAGAATTTATTTCCTAAATCTTACAGAATCTAAGCACACTGCAGATTTTGTACTATATCACAGCTATAAATAAATTCTTTATTCTTATGTCAGCTATATGGAAACTGTCATTGATTGATTTTTCTGTAGTGGAGAATAACATTATGCAGTACTTCAAATTAGTTTTATAGAGAGACACAATATTTTGAAAGCAATTGTGATAATGTTGCTCTAAAGGTTGCTATTCTATTTGACTGATTTTTCTGAAATGACTCTATGATTTTAATTGTGATTAGGATGAACACAGACACATTTTAGGATATAGCTTTCTTATTTTCATGCATAAAAATTTTATACACAAATGTATGGGGGCGAGGGGGAGAAAATATTGGTGTGAAGGTGTTGATCTACAGAAAGTAGTTATTTGAGAAAATTGTAGTTAAAATCTGGTTGTCAGTAAAAAATAGCCTAAACAGGAGTTAATTAAATTAAATATCCACTCAATAAAATATGCATCAAAAAAGTAATTTGACTGTCATCTGTTTGTGAAAGAAGGGAGAAAGCAGAAGTTAAGAGAACGGAAAAGGTCAGTCTTATTGAATGCGATACATATATCAAAAACAAAACTAAGCATCTTCTTATGACTAGAATACCCAGTCTATTCATAATCAGCCAGTGTCTTGGTGATAATACTAAGTAAATTGAATGCCCTCAGAATTCATAGAAAAACATTATCAATACTCCTTCTTAGAGCTGACACAGCTACCATATTAACTTTTATCTTTGACTGGAGAACGTTATATCTCTCTCATGAATTCTCATATGACGAAAGAAGAATAGTAATCGGACAGAGTCACCTGACCATTCTCGTTGTGCAAGGGATTACATTAAATCTGTACTATTATCTGAACAAATCCTAATTTTTCCTTCGGTCTAAACAGTTCTATGTAATGGGAGCACCAGAGATGAATCTATTAATTAAATAATCTATGTTTTGATTTATTTTGACTTAAAGAAAAACAGGTAAGAATACAAAAGCTTATAAAAGTACAAACCCAGTGTAAAGTTGAATCTAAATCTTAGCTCAACTTTTCGGTTTTTATTTGAACTGGTAACTTAATCATTAATGTTTTGTCCCCAAATGAATAAGATTTACTCTTATGGATCACTGGGAGTATACTGAGAAATGATACAACTACATTTGCACCCTCCAATACATTGTTTTGTAATTACAGACATTTCTCTTCTCCTGACATGGGTGGCCAGACCAAGCTCTAAAGGATAAGAAAATGTTATTTTCTGTATAAAATAAGCTTTTTTCTAGTTTCTGCTGCTCTTAATATAATTTTTATATCATTGAAACAATCCAAGTGCCAAAAGCCTTCTCTGAACTGCCCTTAGCTGGGATTCTGTAGCAGCATTCAGTGCATAGAGGATTGTCCTATAAGTTTATCTGAAAGTACTTGGTTAGAACCTTACCAACAAAATCAAGTGTAATGCACTGTACTCTCCTTGAGCCTGGTTTCCTAGTCTGCACTTGTTCTGTTTTCCTCATTAGCCACTATGTGAGTTTCAAGTTTCTTTTTTAGACTTCACCAGCCACATTTAGGTCTTTCTGCTTATACTTATTTATTTTTCTTTGATCTTATTCCTTCTCTGAGAATGAAGAGTCTCTGGCTCACGTCTGATCATTTCTGGAATCAGAGACCTGACATGTCCTAGAAGGGACAGGGTAGCACTTAATTTCAGCAGAGGGATCTGTATGGTCCTGGGAACCAGCAATACACCAGTGAAAGGCTGGAAGGAGATGGCAAAGTGGGTGTCTGCTGCAGCTGTCTTGTTGGCCATGACTTAGTAGTAGGAGTAGAAATTGCAAGTCAAACATAGCTGGATGCACTGTCAGAGCTCTTCTACTCTCTTGAAACAAACAAGTTTTTCTCAAGTATAAATGAAGGGTATATCCTTTCTAACGGAGGAATTATGGGACTTTTCTGGCTATTCAAATTCCTAGGATTTTTTTCAGCAATTCACTGGATTTGAAACCTGAGAGTACTGACTAGTTAATTAGAGCATCGCAAATTTCTCATGAGGATGTAGCCTAATCATTTCTGAACTGTATGATGTTGGGGAAAGGTGTTGATTGAGCTAAAAGAGAATTACTCAGTTTATTATTTGGAGTAAATATTTACATTCTGTGTTTTTTGGACTATCCAAATTCTATCTAAAACATATTTTTAAGCCAGCAATGGGGTTTCCTATAGCCATACTTCTAATATTTTAAAAGCATGAGTAGGTTTAAAGAAGGAAGGGAAATAAACACCTGATCCTGACATTATGTGGGAAGTTACTATTGAAATTCAACATTTCCCTTTTTGTCCTTCCGTCTTGCAATGCGCTGGCTAATGGTTTACATGCAGTTCCTTCTGCTGGATCGATCGTCAGACATGCTCAAGTGTCTGCTATCAGGAGTTCAAATGGTCGGGGGCTGTATTTTTGGAGCAGACGGATGAGAGCTCTGTCACTACTTCCTGCTTTAAGGGCTTGTCTAAACATAAAACACTTTAACTCTACTGGAACATTTAGAGCAGAACAACACCCCTAGGCTGGATGCAGTTATACTGGTATGAGTTTATATCCGTATAGCTTAGTCCTGTGTGGGAAGGGACTAAACTATGCTAGCATAAGGCACCGATATACTGATATAACTACATCCACACTAGGGGCTGTACAGCTGTAACTATTGTGATTAAATAACACACAAAATACCCTGTCTGAAATAATTATACTGGCACAACAACTGTATGTAGACCAGACCTAAGTTTGTATGGTGACAACTGAATTCTTGGATTCATTAGTCTTTTCCTTGTTCCCCTTTATTTTCTTTACAGGCCCTCAGCCTGTGTGTTAATGAACCTGTAAAATATACCATTATTGCCATATTATTTATATCCTAATTATAGTCAAACTTTGACTGAAGAATTTATATTAATTTTTAAATAATATAAATTATATTAATTGGATATTATTTATATTAATATTAGAATAATACATATTCATGGCATATTTTAAATAAGACATACAAATGTGTCTCTACCTTAATGGGCACTGTTTGTGTTCACCTACTCTGGCTTGATTTTATAGAAGAAATTCTCTGCAGAAACTCTATGCACAGCCCACAGCCCATTAGCTGATGAGCTCTATTATTGCCCTCTGCCTTCAAAAGTTCAACCTTTTCTAGCACTTTTTTGGTTCTGGTGCTAATGAAGCCATAGAATAACTTGTTCGGAAAACTAAGACTGAAAGTGAACTCTTGGACAAGCTGGCTGTGTGGTTTAAAAAAATAAACAGCAGCTAAAATATGATTGTGATAAGAATTGCAAAACTACAAAATTAATTGATTTATTACTGTCTCCTTTATGAGATGTGGCAGAGAGGTTTATAGATTCATAGATCCTAGGACTGGAAGGGACCTCGAGAGGTCATCGAGTCCAGTCCCCTGC